GTACGTTGGATACTACCGTCGATGAAGTCATTCGCCATCTCAATTGATGAGCGAAGAGCAATCATTGATAGTGTTCTGCATAACGACTTGGAATAAATTCCTAGACGCCGCAGGCCATTGACCGTAGTCCTGGGTAGTGCCCCTCTCGCACCAATGACGATTGGGATCACTTCCACTTCTACGTCTCCGAGATGTCGCGGAGAGGGTTCTCCGTATCGAGTATTTGGCCACTTTTTCCTCGTGGGCTTCCTTTAGCTGTTTGTACCCTCGTAGCGGACTGTGTAGTCGACCACTTGGGCCCTTCCCTGGTCTACTACGACCAGATCCGGTTTCAACATGCCATTGGACACGCGGAAAGTTGACTCGCGGAGTAACTCCAGGTTGCGCCGCTTCTTTGATACTTCTGACTCGACGAGGTTACCAATCTCGTCGTGTCTCTTTATCACTCGCGGCTTCAACTCTGGACATCCTCCAATAATGTGAGATAGGGATTCCGGCCTATTCTCACATACGCGGCATAGGTGGGACAGGTGATCGTGTCCAGCCCGAATGAGCGTCGTCCTGTTCCCGTACGTATTGGTACGCATGCGTAGGGCATCGATCATCCTACCGCTAGATAGAAGATCGTTCCTGGTCAACCACTCATTGGATAGCCTATCTTTAAACTCCTCGACTCCATCGCCCTGGCACGGTAGCCCTTTCCAGGAGGAATACTCCTTGTCAATGGCGCTTCGCTTCAGTTTTGCGACGGCTTCTGTGGAGGTCGGCATCTGGATTCGTAGCAGTTTAGCTGCTTTTTCCGCCTCCGCGGACCGCACAGATGACATTCCGCGTTTCGGACTACGGGTCTGTAGACTGCCTCATCCTCACGACGGACTTGATTACAGCAAGCTGAATATCAGTTGTCATCCGGGTCACGCCTAGGCCACCTTCCTTCTTGCGCGTATATAGTAGATACATAGTGGTACTTTCTGGCAGATGGAAGATTTACGAACAACGTTCCGGATTTGTTGGTCCGCATCTTCTAACGCCGTCTTGGAAGGTGGATTTTGCACCATTCCGTACCTGTATCTGGGTACATATCGAATATCAGCTTCAGTTTCTGTTCGGGCTTGAGACTAAGTCTTGCCGCCCTTTTGCAGCAGAAACGAATTCCTTCGCGTTGTCTTTGCTAGAAATTCCTCCTTTCCAAGGAGTGAAACTGACACCGAGGTAACGGATCGCTTCGTCTGGGTCCACATAATTGACTTCCTGATCTTTGATCTTAAGCTTGGGGTCCACGATAGCCCAAGTTTTATGTAGCGGTTTACCGTGAACGCGCTACACTTGGCTATCGAGAGGTTCATGCCTAGGGCGCTGAAATATTCAGACACAAGTTCGATGTCCTCTACGGCGTCCCCTTCAGATTTACTGATAAGAATCAGATCATCCGCGAACGCCAGGACCGACACATTGCGTCCTCCTAGGACAATTCCCTTTCCTTCCCGCTGATCGAGGTATGTCAATAATGGGTCGACGACTGCGTTCCAAAGAAGTGGGCTAAGAGGATCGCCTTGCTTCACGCCTCTTCAGACTGATCTTTATTTCTTCGGTCGTAGATGGTAAGACCGTCTGACAATCCTGGTATACGTAATCGACGTATTCAGCGATATAGGGGCCACTCCAAGCCTTCTGAGCGCCGGTACTAATGCACCATGTGGCACTGTGTCGAAGGCTTTGGAAATGTCAAGTATGGAACAAGTTCCACCTTGTTCCTCCTTCATCGCTTTCAACGTTTGGCGAAAGAGGGAGACGTTCTGAGCCGCTCCCTCGTCATGCGTGAATCCTTTTTGTGCTCGGCTTAGCTCGATGTTTCCCCTAAGAGATTCATCGATCACCCCGAGAACAGTCTGGCTAGGATTGAGCTGACAGTAATCGGCCGCCAGCTGGCTGCCACTGTCAGATCCTTGCCATCTTTTGGGATCAGCGTTGTTCTGTTACGTTTCCAGGATTCGGGGTAAAACCCAATCCCCAAGCAGATATTAAAGATCGCAGTCAGAAGAATGCGCGCTGTTCGGCGTATGTCCTTCTTAGCCACTTGTCTGGCCCCGCAGCAGTGTGCGTTTTCAGGCGTCGGTATCTTTTTCTACCGTTCCGCGCTGTATCGGGTTAATATCGACGACGCCCACCCTTGTAGCTACGGTCTTTCCCAATCAGGTGGGGAAGAATGTGGTTTCTTCAACGCCCCAGAGTCCGTTATATAGGTCTCTTACCTGATCACCCGGAGGTAGTTCAGGTTGGCGGCGTTGTTCGATATCTGAGAGCCGATCCTCCACTACTAGCGTAGCTAGTTGTTTCGGTTCTTTCTCCCAGAGTTGTTGTACCGTAGCATACTCGTGTTGGCGTCTTTTGTCTCTACTCCCCTAGCTCTGTGGTTAGCGTTTTGCGGCCTTACCTCTCTGGCCGTTCGGGGCAGATTGGGTTTGCCTCCTCGAACTCGACGGTGAGTTCGTTGACGACG